CATTATTGTTTAATGTCATTAATCATGAATCCACAACACAGCAGTTTGTTTAGTGAGTAGGAAAAAAGAAAAGTGAGTATTTACATCTACTGTCAGATACGTCACAGTTTATACCCATGCTAACACAATAGAGACTTTTATATACACAGAAGAAATTAGCATCGTTGTACAAAGACATCCCATCATAGTCACTATCTGCAAAAATACACAAAATAATAATAATAATAATAAACCCTCAGCTGCCCTGACATAAATCAGAATAATTCGACAAAAGGAGATTTTGTTTTCTGTTTTCTAGGTTTGAAAACAGTTAAACATCAGAAAGGCGAGACATCACAATCTACATGTTTACAAGGTTTGCCCTTTATGGTCCGTATAAATACTCTGCTTGTTTATGTACACAGAAATACAACCCCTCCGATTTACATCCATCACAGTGTGTACGAAAAACTAAATACAAAAAAAGTGTGTTTGAGTTTTGCTGAGTGCTACTCGAAGTGAGAGGTCAGTATAATGTACGGTGGCCGAAAGGTGCAAACGCGCTACAACGGCCCAAACATGCAGAAATAGAAACCCAAAGGTTCCACTGGAAGAAAGATCTTCAGCAACTTGACAACACCTGCAGCGTTTAGAGAACATTCAGCAACTTGAGGAGACATGGCAGCGTTTACTAAAAGCTGCAGAAACCAAACGCTGCTAATACAAAACACTGCAGAAGCGGAGACCAGGGGACACTAAAGAGTGACGCACACAGCTGGGAGACCAGGGGACACTAAAGAGTGATGCACACAGCTGTGAGACCAGGGGACACTAAAGAGTGACGCACACAGCTGGGAGACCAGGGGACACTAAAGAGTGATGCACACAGCTGTGAGACCAGGGGACACTAAAGAGTGACGCACACAGCTGTGAGACTAGGGGACACTAAAGAGTGACACACACAGCTGGGAGACCAGGGGACACTAAAGAGTGACGCACACAGCTGGGAGACCAGGGGACACTGAAGAGTGACGCACACAGCTGGAGACCAGGGGACACTAAAGAGTGACGCACACAGCTGGGAGACCAGGGGACACTGAAGAGTGACACACACAGCTGGAGACCAGGGGACATTAAAGAGTGACGCACACAGCTGGGAGACCATGGGACACTAAAGAGTGACACACACAGCTGGGAGACCAGGGGACATTAAAGAGTGACACACACAGCTGGAGACCAGGGGACATTAAAGAGTGACACACACAGCTGGGAGACCAGGGGACATTAAAGAGTGACACACACAGCTGGGAGACCAGGGGTGTTTCTTAATGTCGAGGACGCTTCCTTGGTATGTCTTCCGAGTCAGGTCCTTCAGAAGCGAGGCAAGAATCCTTCCTAGCCTCGGAAAACAAAGAATGGTGGAACAGGCTAACAGGTGTGCGTCATATGCGAGGCCCCGCCTTAAATGGAGGGCGATTTCCACCAAAGATTTGGAAATTGGTCCGTTCGCAAAGCATTGTGGGGATTCTAAGACCGCGGAGTCTACACATGTGCAGCCTCGAAATTTCTCGCTACGAAGTACGCCGGCCTCGGTAGAATTCCAAGTATGCTGGACATTGGAACCGTCCTTCGGCGGCACTCGATTACCTAGTATGCTTGGAATAGTGGCTCTGGAGCATTCTTCCTGGACATTGAGAAACACCCCAAGGGACACTAAAGAGTGAAGCTAGTCATTTCAGATATACTGACAAACTCTCACAGATATGAGCCAGAATAACAGATACAGTTGTTCAGCTTTATAATCCTGAGGCCCATTCCCAAACCGCCCCCTACACCCTACCCCTACACCCTACCCCTACACCCTACCCCTCCGTTTGCGCGTTCACGCGGAGGGTCCGCCATATTGAGGGCTGTTCCAAAGCAACGAGTGTGGAGCGGTGTGGAGGGGGAGTGGGCTATCAAGCCCTCAAACAGCGAGTCTGCAGCGGTGCTGACTTGAGACCGGTCTCTACCTGACCGGAGTCACGCTGTGTGTGTCCGTCAGGAAACACGCTGTTTACAAGTAGTTCCAGCAAACATCCACTGATAAACTGCGATGTTAACAACCTCATGATAACCTCATATGTTTTTAACTTAGGATCATACCTGTGTTTAGTCTAGAAAAAGGTAAATGTGTGCATTTTATTATAAAGTTGTGTACATTTACAGACTGTTGCAAAAACTAAAAAGCTTATAAACATTAGGTTTAAAACTAAAAGAGCTTTGAAACACAATGAAAGATGTTTGGAGTTTTATTTGAGTTATTCATTTAAACTTTTAGTTTAAGAGATGCTGATTTGAAACCGTTGTTACATACAGTTACGGCATTTCCTGTTTCTGCCGGAGAGAGGGGAGGCCGTCCCAAAGCTTGCTGCTGTATTTACTCCCTCCATCTGACAGGAGGGAGCCTCGTTGAGCTGCGAGTGAGGCTACAGACGGAGTTCACTCCGTCACGGAGGGGTAGGGTCAAGGGAGTGGTTTGGGATTGGGCCTGAATGTCTCCCAGCTGTGTGCGTCACTCTTTAGTGTCCCCTGGTCTCCCAGCTGTGTGCGTCACTCTTTAGTGTCCCCTGGTCTCCCAGCTGTGTGCGTTTTGATTGATTGAAAAGTTTATTAACAGCTTGTATATTGGGTATAGTACAGTACAGCTCAAAACATACAATTGTTAAGGGGATGCAGACCAGAGAAAGACTTTCGTCTTGTTTACATCAGGGTCCCCCATTTCCAATTCATCATATCATTTAAGACATATAAGACATATTTGACATACAGATGGCTTATTTACAATTTACATACAGGTGGTTTTTTACATACAGATTGCTTGTTTACAATTTTCATTTTAGATTTCGTTCTAATACATCCTAACCGGACATTTAAGACATACCAAGTCTACAGATATACAGTTAGTAACAGAGTCTAAAATGCGAGTATATACATAGATGGGGGGGGGGAAGCTGTCCATTGAACGACAGGTTGAGATTTGTACCATTACCGGGGCCAGTTTTGCAATGCTCTCCCCCGAAGGTGCTCTTTAAGAGAGGTTTTGAAGGTAAGTATAGTTTTACTTTCCTTTACAGTTGTGGGAAGAGCGTTCTACCTTGATGTGGCATAATTGCGAAACGTGTATTCCCCCTTTTTTGTGCCAAATCTGGGTTTCACATGATTTGTGGAGCTCCCTCTGGTGTTATGATCATGGTATTCCTTGACCTTTGGGAAGAATTTTGACATGTACATGGGTACCATAGAGGTGTAGTGGATCTTGTAGACCAGGCCCATTGCAAGTAGCTGTACTCTGTCGTCTACTCTAAGCCATCCTAGGTTGTCAAAGTGGGCAGAGGTGAGGTGGGTTCTAGATGAAAGGTCAAGCAGTAGTCTGACCAGTCACAGAGTGTCTGACCGTCACTCTTTAGTGTCCCCTGGTCTCCCAGCTGTGTGCTTCACTCTTTAGTGTCCCCTGGTCTCCCAGCTGTGTGCATCACTCTTTAGTGTCCCCTGGTCTCCCAGCTGTGTGCTTCACTCTTTAGTGTCCCCCGGTCTCCCCGCTGTGTGCGTCACTCTTTAGTGTCCCCCGATCTCCAGCTGTGTGCGTCACTCTTTAGTATCCCCTGGTCTCCCAGCTGTGTGCGTCACTCTTTAGTGTCCCCTGGTCTCCGTTGTGTGTTGAGCTTCTGCAGCGTTTTGTATCTGCAGCGTTTGGTGTCTGCAGCTTTTAGTAAACGCTGCCATGTCTCCTCAAGTTGCTGAATCTTCTCTAAACGCTGCATGTGCTGCAAGTTGCTGAAGATGTTTCTTCATCTGGAACATTTGTGTTTTTATATCTGCATCCTTTCTGAAGCTGCAGCGTGTTTGCACCTGTCGGCCACCGTACCAACTCCAAAAACCCTAAATAATTTAAAGTGGACATCGAATATTAAAACGTCTTGTGATCGTAGCAGGCTTTGCATAGTTAACTTTTTTTCCCCAAACGTTACTTTATTGTGTTCACAGGAGGAGTGAGAATAAACTACGTGTGCTATCATTAGCTACACCAAGCTAACAGTCAGTCCTGTAATAAATCCATCTTTTTGAAGTTCGTCATTTGTATTAGTAACTTTATGACCATTTTAGATTCTTAATTCTGTTGAATCAAAAGGGGTTTTTATCATGCATATACAAAAATTACAGAATTTATACAGAAATATAATGAAGGATTTCCTGCAGGATGCTTCTATTAGCATTAGCTTTAGCTTGGTGCACCTATTGATTAGAGTGGACAGAGCGAATCAGCCTTTAAATGTAATACATTTAACACCGTATCTTATCATGTCAGTGTGTGTACAGTATATCAACATAACTGTTTCCTCTCTCTCTGTGTTAATTATCTCCAATATCACTCAAATGATTTAAATAAATAAAATATAAACTTGTTAATCATAATGTACAGTGTGAGAATAACACCACACAGCCGTGTTGGGATTTCATCCTAAACTGGTGCTTTTAGCCGTTTTCAAACGTGTTAAATTCACTTAATAAAAGCAAGTGTAACAGCTGAGTTTGTGCAGGAAAATACCATTTTAAGAAAAAAAATAGAAAATGCTAAATAATAAAAAAGAAAATCTTAACAAATCTGCAATATTAAGCAAAATTGACCTGGACTTATTGGGGTTGAAATGGCTTGTAAATATGTAGTTTAATTATATTTAAAAATAAAAAAAACATCATTATTTTCCTGTGGTTTCATGGGGACTATTTTCAGTGGCGGAAGGATCCACATTTGCAGTTCTTGTATTAATTGCAACAAAAGAAGAAGAAAGATATCCCCTGCAATATATTTTAACATATTTTAAAGTAATATAACTTTAAAAGGTCCTTTAAATGTGTCCAACACAAAGGAGAGGCGCGATTAAACAGAGGACAATATGTACATCATTTAAACTGGTGGCTTAAAAAGAAAAGAGTTTCACATTTTAAGATACCAACATAACAAAAAATAAAATAAAATGTTCGTTCACAGTAGTTTTACTCCACGTCTATCAAGACATCCAGTGCTCAAAGTCTTAATAAATGAACATGCATACAAAACACTTTAAAAATGTACAGTCATTATTTTAAAAAATGGCAAAAAGTGTATATTTATTATAGTTATTATTCTCTAAAAACGTTGTTGATCCTCTTCCCTTCGTCGCCTCGTCAAAAATAAAACCCTCAAGTTTAAATTAAATTATTTCTGCGTGTTTGTGCACGTCCTCGGCTCGGGACGGCGTTCATCTTGCATATTTCTACACTTCACCTTCAGTCAAAAGTGTTACGATTAAATATAAATTAGATTTATATACTTATATATACTGTGTTACATTTATCTACATACTTTGATGTTCCTCTGGGAAAATATATATACTTTTTCGCCGGTCGTTTGTTGGAGAATCCGTCGTTTGTTTGTGTTTATTATTATTAATTATTTGTTTACAGGGAGGTCGTCACTCTGCTTGTGTAGAATCTAAAATGCACACGTAAAAATAAGTTTAAATTGTAATTGCTTTTTGTTTTGGTGCTCTGTTGCTTTGTTAAAGTCCTGCTTGTCTTCAGAGCGAGGTCACAGCACGGGATGATTCTTCATTTTTATATGAAATCTTTAACCTTCTGCGTGATAATGTTATGAATTCAAATTAAATCACAAGAGATGGACAGGTGGAACATTATTATGATGGATTTAGTGATTAAATAGTAAATAAAGCAGACTGCTCAGACAGGATGCAACGACGGTTTGGTGAATGGTGTTTCTGCTGATAAAGTTATTCAAATGTCCGCTGAGTTTGTTTATCGGAGCATCTCCCGGGTTATTCTGTGTATTTGTGTTCATGTAGTCATGTGTGAATATGTCTTCTGTCGTGTACCGTGTAGTGTTTATGATTTGGGTCCAAAACATATTTCCTTACGAGGAAAATTAAGTGTTTCGAATCGTATTGTTACGTATTGTATCAAATAGTAATATATCGAATAATAACTTATCGAATAGTAACAAATCGAATCTGATAGTAACTTATGGAATCGTAAAGTATTGAATAGTAACATATCGAATAGTAACGTATCGAATAGTAACGTTCGAATAGTAACGTATCGAATAGTAACGTATCGAATAGTAACAAATCGAATCTGATAGTAACTTATGGAATCGTAAAGTATTGAATAGTAACATATCGAATAGTAACATATCGAATAGTAACGTATCGAATAGTAACGTTCGAATAGTAACGTATCGAATAGTAACGTAGCGAATAGTAACAAATCGAATCTGATAGTAATGTATGGAATCGTAAAGTATTGAATAGTAACATATCGAATAGTAACGTATCGAATAGTAACGTTCGAATAGTAACGTATTGAATAGTAACGTATCGAATATTAACGTATCGAATATTAACGTATCGAATAGTAACGTTCGAATAGTAACATATCGAATAGTAACGTATCAAATAGTAACGTATCGAATAGTAACGTATCGAATATTACCGTATTGAATAGTAACATATCGAATAGTAAAGTATCGAATAGTAACGTATCGAATAGTAACGTATCGAATAGTAGCGTATCGAATAGTAACTTATCGAATACTAACGTATCAAATATTAACGTATCGAATGGTAACGTATCGAATAGTAACGTATCGAATATTAACGTATCGAATAGTAACGTATCGAATAGTAACGTATCGAATAGTAACGTCTCGAATCGTATCGAAAAGTATCGTATCGATTAGTAACGGATTGTATCGAATAGTAACGTATCGAATAGTAACGTATCGAATAGTAACGTATCGAATATTAACGTATCGAATAGTAACGTATCGAATAGTAACGTATCGAATATTAACGTATTGAATATTAACGTATCGAATAGTAACGTATCGAATAGTAACGTATCGAATAGTAACGTATCGAATAGTAACGTATCGAATTGTATCGAATCGTATCGAAAAGTATCGTATCGATTAGTAACGGATTGTATGGAATTGTAACGTATGGAATAGTAACGTATTGAATAGTAACGTGTCGTATCTTAACGTATCTTAACGTAATCTATCTTCTGGGAAAGGTTTTGTCAATTTAAATCACGCGTGTTTGACCCCCCATGATAATGTTATGAGTCAAAATGAAATCTCATCAGTCTGTGCAATTACAGTACAGGTGCAACGTTATTACGATGGATTTAGTGATTAAATAGTACAAAATAAATCAAGCTAACTGTGCTCAGACAGGATGCAATATGTAAAAACATTTAATTTCCCCTCAGGGATAAATAAATGGGGATCTTAAAGTTAATGAGGAATTGTTAAACGTTGTTTCTGCTGATGATGTTGAGTATTCAAATACGGAGAGAGTTAGTCCTGGTTTATTCCCGCTTCTGGAAAAAGTATGTACATTAAAATCCTATGAGTCAAAGTGAAATCCCATGAGTCTGTGCAATTTCAGTAAGGATGCAACGTTATTAGCGGTCCAGTTTTCCATTGGCAGATGGTTTCGATGGTATGGTCTCAGAGGTCGTATGAAGAAGCTTCTGAGTAATTCCTGACGTCTGAATTTGGTTTCTACGTGATCAGAAATGTATGATTTGACACCAACATCATTCGTCGAGGGGGGATTCTATGGCGAAAAAAGGTATTTCCAAACCCTCCATGGTGGCCTTTCCGGTACAGGTGCAACATTACGATGATGAATTCATTGATTGTGCTCAGACAGGAAGAAACATGAGGGTCTGGTGAAAGTGATTCAGCTGATAAAGTCGAGTATATAAATGTTCCATTAGTTTGGTTATCAGAGCGACTCTGAGTTTATTCTTTCTTCTGGAATTAAAAGTTTATACATTTAGATCCCACCCGTTACTCCTCGCTGACCCCAGTTTCCCACGCCACCTTCGCCTGCTCCTCTTTCGTCGCAGCGATGATCGGCTGGGAGATTTTTCTCGGCATGGGGCGAGGCATCGGTGTTTGGGTGTCTTCTTCAGGGATGCACCCCTCTCTGAGGTAGGGTTTAGGGGGCAGGGCGGGGGGCTCGTGATGGAGGTGGTAAAGCGGCGGAAGATGGGGGATGTAGTGATGATAATAGTGAATATTCTGGAGGTCTTGTTGGATGTTTCCTCCCACAACTTCGGATTCGGAGCCACTGAATCGGATGGGTTGGTAGTCCAGGTCCTCGGGGTCCACGGCGCTAATGGGGGCTGAATCTAGGGGGCCGATAGGGGGGTCGCAGGAGGAGGAGGGCGGGGGGCCGAAGTTACTCTCGCTGAGGGAGGAGACCCCAGAGCTGGCGCTGCCCGACAGAGTGGAGCTACTGCCATCCAGGACGGACTGAGGACTGGTGGGCGAGGCAGGTATAGGGTGAAGGGGAGACTGGAGAGAGAGAGAACAGCACACATACTTTATTATTATTGTTGTTATTGTTATTAGGAGGATCACTTAGTTCAAGCACAATGGCAGGATTTAGTAGATGAAATGTGTAGAATGGAGAAAATGAGCGTGAGAATCAGAAACCAGTTCATATCTTCGATGGGATAATTAATAAGTTATAAAACACAAAGCATGGCACGTGTGTTTTTATTTGCATGTTTTTTGAAACTGCAGTGCGTTTCTCCTTAAGTTTTACCTTAATACTGACACCCTACTATCATGAAAGTGTCTCTGAAAATGAAAATAAATGTACAAACTGTTGCTTAGAATAAACAGTAGTGATATAAAGTGGTAAATGTATACATTAACAAAACAGATTTTGCAGTTGCTAGTATATATTTCTGCGTGATAGGAATTAATGATCATATTCATATCCATGGGGAGGATAGAAAAGAAGCACAAAAAACTAGACAGAAAAACATCAGAAAATAGGAGGAAAACCAGAAAACACAGACAGGAAACCAGACGGTACAATAAAGGAGAAGAATATCATATTTCTTTGCTTCAGAAACTGCAATCTGAAAACTCTCAGATTATTTTAAAGTCAACGTTGATATATTGAACTGTGAGCTGTGAGCATTAAACAGAAACTCAGAGGGACATGCTGGACTTGAAACAGCACACGCTAACAGTGTGTCTGTTTTCCACTTTGGCTGATCAGTGTATCAGCATCCAAAATCTGACCAAAAGAAAAAAAGCCCATTTCTTGCAACCTGAAATGGAAACAAAGAAATGCACTCAAATAGTAACGTTTCTTTGGGGGTTGCAGACTAACAGACAGACATTCATCCAGACCAACAGCATGAGTGAAGGGGAGGAGGAGGAGGAGGAAGAGGTGGAGGAGGGAGAGGAAGAAGAGGAGGGTACCTTTCTTAAGGATCGCGCAGGGAGAGCTGGAGGAAGGTCGCTGACCTGGTGGTGGAAAGCGTCAAAGTGCATCGACAGGTGTTGCCCTACAGGGGGAGACACAGCAGGACTGACTGAGAGACAACCTCAAACCAGAGAAGAAGAAGAGGAGGAGGAAGAGTAATGGGTTGCGTTCGAATTGTGAGTTTGGCTAGGTTTCTAACGTAGTGAAACTAATCTGAAGTACCTCGTGATGAGAGCTGTTTGAATTATCCCTACTATCATTAAAGTGTCTCTGAAAATGAGATAAAAGGAGCAGTAGTAGCAGTCGTTATATAATCATTTTTGGTTTCATTACGCGTTTGCATTTGTCGGCCACCGTAGATTTAATCAAACAATGAACTGCTGCTAAATCCAAGCAGCTCATAAACATTAGAGTGAAAAATGTTTCCTCCAAGAGTTGCGACACTTCCTGTTTCTGACGGAGAAAAGGGGAAGTCTGTCGAGAATCTTGCAGCTTTATTTACATCCTCCGACTTAAATAGGACGTCTCATTCAGTCGAGGGTGGACCGAAATAGAGACCGGGGGGACGGAGAGGAAGGGAAGAGAGAGTCAGCAGGAAAAGTGTCTGTGAAGGAGGGAGTGTGTGAATGAGGAAGTGTGTGAAGGGGAACTTTTTTCATCCTTTTCCAAGCTCTCAACAATACATTTATATTGTGCTGGAAAGGGAAACATACATTTGACTGTCCACGGCTTAAATAAAACACTCATATGTTTTTACATTTTGTTTAAAGCTTTAGAATGAGCTGAGAAACTGTAAATAACTCTGATCTTGTGTTATACAAATACAATATTAAAAGGGCCCTATTCTGCTGATGTTCAGGTGTGTATCAGTATGTAGAGTCTCTACTTTAAAGAGTCCTCTCCTGCTGATGTTCAGGTGTGTATCAGTATGTAGAGTCTCTACTTTAAAGAGTCCTCTCCTGCTGATGTTCAGGTGTATATCAGTATGTAGTGTCTCTACTTTAAAGAGTCCTCTCCTGCTGATGTTCAGGTGTATATCAGTATGTAGTGTCTCTACTTTAAAGAGTCATCTCCTGCTGATGTTCAGGTGTATATCAGTATGTAGTGTCTCTACTTTAAAGAGTCCTCTCCTGCTGATGTTCAGGTGTATATCAGTATGTAGTGTCTCTACTTTAAAGAGTCCTCTCCTGCTGATGTTCAGGTGTATATCAGTATGTAGTGTCTCTTCTTTAAAGAGTCCTCTCCTGCTGATGTTCAGGTGTATGTCAGTATGTAGAGTCTCTACTTTAAAGAGTCCTCTCCTGCTGATGTTCAGGTGTATATCAGTATGTAGTGTCTCTTCTTTAAAGAGTCCTTTCTTGCTGATGTTCACGTGTATATCAGTATTTAGTGTATCTTCTTTAAAGAGTCCTCTCCTGCTGATGTTCAGGTGTATATCAGTATTTAGTGTCTCTTCTTTAAATAGTCCTCTCCTGCTGATGTTCAGGTGTATATCAGTATGTAGTGTCTCTACTTTAAAGAGTCCTCTCCTGCTGATGTTCAGGTGTATATCAGTATGTAGTGTCTCTACTATAAAGAGTCCTCTCCTGCCGATGTTCAGGTGTATATCAGTATGTAGTGTCTCTACTTTAAAGAGTCCTCTCCTGCTGATGTTCAGGTGTAGATCAGTATGTAGTGTCTTAAGATGTCTCTCCTGCTGATGTTCAGGTGTATATCAGTATGTAGTGTCTCTACTTTAAAGAGTCCTCTCCTGCTGATGTTCAGGTGTATATCAGTATTTAGTGTCTCTTCTTTAAAGAGTCCTCTCTTGCTGATGTTCAGGTGTATATCAGTATGTAGTGTCTCTACTTTAAAGAGTCCTCTCCTGCTGATGTTCAGGTGTATATCAGTATGTAGTGTCTCTACTTTAAAGAGTCCTTTCCTGCTGATGTTCAGGTGTATATCAGTATTTAGTGTCTCTTCTTTAAAGAGTCCTCTCCTGATGATGTTCAGGTGTATATCAGTATGTAGTGTCTCTACTTTAAAGAGTCCTCTCCTGCTGATGTTCAGGTGTATATCAGTACGTAGTGTCTCTTCTTTAAAGAGTCCTCTCGCTGATGTTCAGGTGTATATCAGTATGTAGTGTCTCTACTTTAAAGAGTCCTCTCCTGCTGATGTTCAGGTGTATATCAGTGTGTAGTGTCTCTACTTTAAAGAGTCCTCTCCTGCTGATGTTCAGGTGTATATCAGTGTGTAGTGTCTCTACTTTAAAGAGTCCTCTCCTGCTGATGTTCAGGTGTATATCAGTATGTAGTGTATCTTCTTTAAAGAGTCCTCTCTGCTGATGTTCAGGTGTATATCAGTATGTAGTGTCTCTACTTTAAAGAGTCCTCTCCTGCTGATGTTCGTGTATATCAGTATGTAGTGTCTTCTACTAAAGAGTCCTCCTGCTGATGTTCAGGTGTATATCAGTATTAGTAGTGTCTCTATTTAAAGAGTCCTCTCCTGTGATGTTCAGGTGTATATCAGTATGTAGTGTCTCTACTTTAAAAGTCCTCTCCTGCTGATGTTCAGGTGTATATCAGTATGTAGTGTCTCTACTTTAAAGAGTCATCTCCTGCTGATGTTCAGGTGTATATCAGTATTTAGTGTCTCTTCTTTAAAGAGTCCTCTCCTGATGATGTTCAGGTGTATATCAGTATGTAGTGTCTCTACTTTAAAGAGTCCTCTCCTGCTGATGTTCAGGTGTATATCAGTATTTAGTGTATCTTCTTTAAAGAGTCCTCTCTTGCTGATGTTCAGGTGTATATCAGTATGTAGTGTCTCTACTTTAAAGAGTCCTCTCCTGCTGATGTTCAGGTATATATCAGTATGTAGTGTCTCTATTTTAAAGAGTCCTCTCCTGCTGATGTTCAGGTGTATATCAGTATGTAGTGTCTCTACTTTAAAGAGTCCTCTCCTGCTGATGTTCAGGTGTATATCAGTATTTAGTGTCTCTTCTTTAAAGAGTCCTCTCCTGATGATGTTCAGGTGTATATCATTATGTAGTGTCTCTACTTTAAAGAGTCCTCTCCTGCTGATGTTCAGGTGTATATCAGTATTTAGTGTCTCTTCTTTAAAGAGTCCTCTCTTGCTGATGTTCAGGTGTATATCAGTATGTAGTATCTCTACTTTAAAGAGTCCTCTCCTGCTGATGTTCAGGTGTATATCAGTATGTAGTGTCTCTACTTTAAAGAGTCCTCTCCTGCTGATGTTCAGGTGTATATCAGTATGTAGTGTCTCTACTTTAAAGAGTCCTCTCCTGCTGATGTTCAGGTGTATATCAGTATTTAGTGTATCTTCTTTAAAGAGTCCTCTCCTGCTGATGTTCAGGTGTATATCAGTATGTAGTGTCTCTACTTTAAAGAGTCCTCTCCTGATGATGTTCAGGTGTATATCAGTATGTAGTGTCTCTACTTTAAAGAGTCCTCTCCTGCTGATGTTCAGGTGTATATCAGTATGTAGTGTCTCTACTTTAAAGAGTCCTCTCCTGCTGATGTTCAGGTGTATATCAGTATGTAGTGTCTCTTCTTTAAAGAGTCCTCTCCTGCTGATGTTCAGGTGTATGTCAGTATGTAGAGTCTCTACTTTAAAGAGTCCTCTCCTGCTGATGTTCAGGTGTATATCAGTATGTAGTGTCTCTACTTTAAAGAGTCCTCTCCTGCTGATGTTCAGGTGTATATCAGTATGTAGTGTCTCTACTTTAAAGAGTCCTCTCCTGCTGATGTTCAGGTGTATATCAGTATGTAGTGTCTCTACTTTAAAGAGTCCTCTCCTGCTGATGTTCAGGTGTATATCAGTATGTAGTGTCTCTACTTTAAAGAGTCCTCTCCTGCTGATGTTCAGGTGTATATCAGTATGTAGTGTCTCTACTTTAAAGAGTCCTCTCCTGCTGATGTTCAGGTGTATATCAGTATGTAGTGTCTCTACTTTAAAGAGTCCTCTCCTGCTGATGTTCAGGTGTATATCAGTATGTAGTGTCTCTACTTTAAAGAGTCCTCTCCTGCTGATGTTCAGGTGTATATCAGTATGTAGTGTCTCTACTTTAAAGAGTCCTCTCCTGCTGATGTTCAGGTGTATATCAGTATGTAGTGTCTCTACTTTAAAGAGTCCTCTCCTGCTGATGTTCAGGTGTATATCAGTATGTAGTGTCTCTACTTTAAAGAGTCCTCTCCTGCTGATGTTCAGGTGTATATCAGTATGTAGTGTCTCTACTTTAAAGAGTCCTCTCCTGCTGATGGTTCAGGTGTATATCAGTATATAGTGTCTCTACTTTAAAGAGTCCTCTCCTGCTGATGTTCAGGTGTATATCAGTATGTAGTGTCTCTACTTTAAAGAGTCCTCTCCTGCTGATGTTCAGGTGTATATCAGTATGTAGTGTCTCTACTTTAAAGAGTCCTCTCCTGCTGATGTTCAGGTGTATATCAGTATGTAGTGTCTCTACTTTAAAGAGTCCTCTCCTGCTGATGTTCAGGTGTATATCAGTATGTAGTGTCTCTACTTTAAAGAGTCCTCTCCTGCTGATGTTCAGGTGTATATCAGTATGTAGTGTCTCTACTTTAAAGAGTCCTCTCCTGATGATGTTCAGGTGTATATCAGTATGTAGTGTCTCTACTTTAAAGAGTCCTCTCCTGATGATGTTCAGGTGTATATCAGTATGTAGTGTCTCTACTTTAAAGAGTCCTCTCCTGCTGATGTTCAGGTGTATATCAGTATGTAGTGTCTCTACTTTAAAGAGTCCCTCTCCTGCTGATGTTCAGGTGTATATCAGTATGTAGTGTCTCTACTTTAAAGAGTCCTCTCCTGCTGATGTTCAGGTGTATATCAGTATATAGTGTCTCTACTTTAAAGAGTCCTCTCCTGCTGATGTTCAGGTGTATATCAGTATGTAGTGTCTCTACTTTAAAGAGTCCTCTCCTGCTGATGTTCAGGTGTATATCAGTATGTAGTGTCTCTACTTTAAAGAGTCCTCTCCTGCTGATGTTCAGGTGTATATCAGTATGTAGTGTCTCTACTTTAAAGAGTCCTCTCCTGCTGATGTTCAGGTGTATATCAGTATGTAGTGTCTCTACTTTAAAGAGTCCTCTCCTGCTGATGTTCAGGTGTATATCAGTATGTAGTGTCTCTACTTTAAAGAGTCCTCTCCTGATGATGTTCAGGTGTATATCAGTATGTAGTGTCTCTACTTTAAAGAGTCCTCTCCTGCTGATGTTCAGGTGTATATCAGTATGTAGTGTCTCTACATGTCTCCATGCTTTAATGTTCAAAAAGCTCTTTATTGTTCTCATACTGCCTGTGCTGCAGCAACTCTTTTCACCCTCTGTCTGAAACCAGAGCCCAGTCTGCTCTGATTTGTTAGCTGGCCGGCTCTGTTGTGATTGGTCGACTGCTTAGAGATGTCCCGCCCCTTAGCCTATCACATACAATGTGTGGGAGCGCTTCTGTAAAGTTGTAAAATTATTAAGTTCATACATACTAAGGCATTTACAGGAATATGTCAGTATTTCTTTCTACTTACATCACATTTTATACAAACAAACAAGACAACATGCAGGTGACACACACACACACACACACACACACACACACACACACACACACACACACACACACACACACACACACACACACACACACACACACACACACACACACACACACACACACACACACACACACACACAGTGAGAGGGTCGTACCATGTGGCAGATTGCGGGGGGGAACGGGAGGCGCCATGACGCCAACGTGAGCCGAGAGGAAAGGGAGGACGTCTCTCGTGCCGCTGTCCAAACTCCAGCTACTGGGGGTGGTGAGGACTGGAGGAGAATCAACATCTATTTATTTATTTCATATTTTATTCAATATGCTCCTTCGATAACTTTTTATTTTATTTGTTTTATTATTTTCTCCTCATAGCATTGTGAAGCACGTTGCGATGACGTTGTTTTAAAGTGTGCTTTATAAATGAAATGTATTATTATTATTTATTTCATCAAACTTTGGTAAAACGGAATGTTAGTTGTAACCAGAAAGCCGCCATATTTGTTTCCTTTTTTTATTACTGCCACATTTTATTCCATTTAACTCCAGTCTATTTATATGTAAAAACTGCTATATTTGACTATATTTTTTATTATTTATAATGTTTTTTTATGTTATTATAGTTTTCTTATAAGTTAAATAGTTCTCTTATCTGTGTTTTTACTTTTATGTATGCACCATGACACCAAGTCAAATTCCTCGCACGTGTCAACCAGAGGTGGCGCTAGACCTTTTCGCTGCCGGTCATTTTGACGGACAGGATCGATCGACATTTCCATCAACATCCATTACTACCCGTCGGTCGGTACACGACTCTGACGAGGGGCGCACGCTCGTGAACTGTTAGCACCGGTGTTACCCATGCTCACTGCACCTCGCGGGAGCACGCGCAGCGTAAACTCTCCCAGACATGTCAATGATCTGTTCTGCAAAGTCAGGTTTGGAAACGATATCATTTCCTTTTTGGCGGGCATGCATAACACGGCATAACACCGGAGCCTCGCTGCGGGGAAACTTTGGCGCTGTTCCGAGTTTGTTCTAATCCGTCAAAATGACAGACTGCTTTCAGATTTTTCCGTTATTGTTTGTTCGGTTAACGCAACCACTGGTGTCAACCTTTATTAGGTAATAAACCTGTTTCTAAATCTGATTCTGATATTTGTACCCCTGGTGGGCTAATTATGCTGAATTGTGTGTTGATTTGAAAGTCTTAGAAGACTCAAAACTCTCGTTCATAGATTGAATTGATTCAACATCCTCAATATACCTAAAAAAACACACCAAAATTGTCCAAATCGGCCAAGCTATTTCTTAGCTATCGTCTGCATATGCTAACTAATGCAAAAAGAAATGTTAGTTTTAACCAGAAAGTGGCCGTATTTTTACCCCTGGTGGGATGAGTATACTGCATTTTGTGTCGATTTGAAAGTCTTAGAAGATTCAAAACTCAGATTCAAAGATGAAATTAATTCAACATCCTCAATATACTTTTTTTAAAAAGCACCAAAATGTTCCAAATCGCCCAAGCCATTATTTAGCTATTCTCTGCATATGCTAACTAATGCTAATTCATGCAACTTATGCCAATTGTATATCTTTCTCCTCCTGTTTTTCTGACGGTCCTCTCACCTTTCTCGGCCACAGAGAGGTTTGGGTCGCTGCAGGGTTTGCACGGTCCGATCATCACCTGGTGGAACAAAGCCCTCTGGAGGTTCGTAGGCTGAAGAGACATAAATCATGTTAAGATTTAAGGTTTTTTAAATGTCCTTGAAACACACCGTAGATATTTAAATACAAATATTGTAATTTAAGGTATTCCAAGTAGCAGACATAAAAAGGAGTTGAGTATGATTCAGATAATGATTTAACACTTAAAAACCTTCAATGCATCATTAAGTCACTCTCTGGCCTCCTACCTGTCCGTTCTCGATGTTTGAGTACATGGCGCTGCTCGGCCGGTCTCTGTGAGGCGGCAGCAGCATCAACATCTCTCGGTTGTGTCGATATTTGTCCGGAAGAGAAGGAGAGCCCACTGCAGACACAAGAGATTTGATTTATTTTGAACGTGTAAAACAATAATTGTTAGAAACATCTCGTCCCCGGCTTGAGCTTCAATCTCAGGATCCATGTGTTTCTGATCCTCTCCAGAATGGAAGGAGTCATCACATACAGAGCATCAACTAGTTCCTGAACAGTGTCCTTCACATGCTGATATCCAAGAGAGGGAGTTACACAGTCACAAGATGGAGGAACAGAAAGCAGTATTCAATGTTTACTTCAGATTAGCTCCACGTCAGAAATGAGCATGCTTGATGTCTCTCTCCATAGAGGCTGGATCATCATGTTAATCACAGAGCTATCATATGCCTCAAACAGTCCTGATGCTCTTCTAGGTAATCACACATCCTGTCATGTTCACAGCTACAGTTGGGATACCTTTGTTATCATGTTACTCTCATTGGAAGAGGACATTCAGGATTTTCCCAACAGATAATACAAAATTAAAAAAATAATAATGAAATGAAACATGAGAATTATGATACTGTACAAACTTGTAAGTGTCAAATTGATAAACAAAAATATGACTGACTTACAAATGATATATAAACAAATGACCTACCTAGTTACACATCTGAAAAGTGGTGGGAAGAAGTTTACACTTATTTAATCCCATCCCTTCTCCCAGAAACTAAATTATTATATATATATTTTTTTTTTCTTAAGAAAATACATTTGTTATTGAAAAATAAACAAACATAAAAACAACAAATAAACAAATACATAAAAGAGTTAAAGGGTAATCAAGAAAAGATAAAATAACAAACCAAATAAATAAATAATTCAATTTAAAGTAAAAACTTAAGAAATACATGGGTCTAAAACAGATTTTATATGTATTGATTACCTCTGATGGTGGAGGGGGCGGAGTTTATCATCTGAGAGGGAGCAGAGTGGGTGGAGCTTAGGCTGGAGGAGGAGGGGCTTGCCTGGAACGAGGAAGTTGTGATGGTTAGTAAATACAAACTATAAATATCTGCAGAAATGAGCCCTAAAACTAGAAGTGGAAGTACTCAGATATTGTACTTGAGTAAAAGTAGAAGTACTCAGATCTTGTTCTTGAGTAAAAGTAGAAGTACTCAGATATTGTACTTGAGTAAAAGTAGAAATACTCAGATCTTGTACTTGAGTAAAAGTAGAAGTACTCAGATCTCGTTCTTGAGTAAAAGTAGAAGTACACAGATCTTGTACTTGAGTAAAAGTAGAAGTACTCAGATCTTGTACTTGAGTAAAAGTAGAAGTACTCAGATCTTGTTCTTCAGTAAAAGTAGAAGTACTCAGATCTTGTACTTGAGTAAAAGTAGAAGTACTCAGATATTGTACTTGAGTAAAAGTAGAAATACTCAGATCTTGTACTTGAGTAAAAGTAGAAGTACTCAGATCTTGTTCTTGAGTAAAAGTAGAAGTACTCAGATATTGTACTTGAGTAAAAGTAGAAGTACTCAGATCTTGTACTTGAGTAAAAGTAGAAGTACTCAGATCTTGTACTTGAGTAAAAGTAGAAGTACTCAGATCTTGTACTTGAGTAAAAGTAGAAGTACTCAGATCTCGTTCTTGAGTAAAAGTAGAAGTACACAGATCTTGTACTTGAGTAAAAGTAGAAGTACTCAGATCTTGTACTTGAGTAAAAGTAGAAGTACTCAGATCTTGTACTTGAGTAAAAGTAGAAGTACTCAGATCTTGTACTTGAGTGAAAGTAGAAGTACTCAGATCTTGTACTTGGAAAAAG